ATAATTTTTATCTGGTTCTCGTATTTCTTGCCATTTGATTAAGGCATGAGCTAAACGAAATATTGTGAAGATGCTCAACAAATACGTAACGCAAAAAATCCCTCCTTCCACTCTCATACGTTACGGGATTGGAATTTAACAAGGTTCTCGAACCAAGACCCGCCACCTTTCTTGCGCTACATATTTTATGAACGTCGCACTATTCACTGCATAAAAAAATTCGATGAATTATTTATGACCAGGTATTGGTATTACGTAGAATTAGCAGCTTTATTGAAAGCGAGTGTTTCAATTTCAAACAGACTAGGTTAACAGCAAGTTCGGGAAACGCTAGGATGGCCTACAAAGTCTATCCTAGAGAATATGCATCGTCCTGCAATGTTTGAACCGCTGAATCTGTCAAAACCAATTTCTATCGTATTTTTAATATTTAGTGGTTTGCTTTTGCTAATAATTTTCGTTCATATCTTGGAAACCGTGTGGTACTCTTGGGCGAAAATTGTACACTTCTTGATAAGAAAGATGCTAAATATTTTTGATTTTTTCGCACGTGTGATAACACTTGGCCTTCTAAAGGTTAGACGATCAAAAAAAGTTACCAGGATTATGGGAAGGAAGATTACAGAGACGAAAAAATGTTGGCAGTAATGTGGACATAATTAAGAAATAAATTCATTATTAGGTTTGAATCAGGTTATTTAGAGTAAATGAATTATTCAAGTACGTCACACTTCAAGTTTTTACCACCTGTAGATAGTGAAATAAATAAAATAAACTCCAAATGTTTCGAAAATATGTAATTGAGGTATATTTATATTTTAAAGTTTGCCTTGATCATGCAAACAAAATTTTGAATTGTCTTAGACACTTTTGAAAAATGGAATACACATGGTTTGCAGCAATACGGACAGTTTGGCAACCATTACGTTAACAGTTTTGAAATCAATGCTTTTCTAGATCACTTTATTAGTTATTTGTCCTCTGTGCATGATATCTCTGCATCAATAAGTAATATGGTTCTATGGGACTTCCTGGAACGGATAGTGGAATCATCTTGGCAACAGAGCTCATGAAAATTCACCGGACCGTAAGCTGCTAGGACCGGAAACTTCGGTCGTAGGACGGTACTGGACCGGGGACCGAGGACCGATAAATTAATATTTATCACTCTGTATTAGGCCAATGTATGAATCCTCTAGCACTCACGCGAAGCGATGACATGATACATTTGAATGAGAATAATTTTATTTTTTTCATGCATTAAAATAAGTAGATTAGTCGTGTTTGTATTTCCAAGAATTCGGTGGGTTTGGCATGAGCTGGAAAATAACTTACAGCCAAAATTATAAATTTTCAAATAGCTAACTCCTTTGAATTCATAAATTAAAAAGTTATCGTACATGGTCACTTGTTTAGGGTGATGTAAATGCATACTTTGTGATTTTTTTGTTGCCTGGTATTTGCCTCACTAAGAAAAAAATATAAAAAAACATGTATGCTAAGAATACCTGTGGTCTTAAAGTTTACTTCTTACAGCAGTGTTTTGTCTCCTATTTTGTAAATTAACCAAAAACTACAAAGTGCTCATGACTCTTTGCAAATATCTTTACTCTCCCCCTTCATATTAAGATTTTATCAATACAAACTTAGAGTAAACATAAAATAATTTTTTCTCAGAAAAATAAATTCGGAAATTTTTCTTCTCGTTATTTATTAATTAAATTGATGTGAAGAATCAAGCCTAAACTAAAATGGAGTTGAACGGATACAGTGTAAATAACGTACATTATTGATGGATCGCACAATTCACCATATATCTACGGTCTAAATTTGTGAGAAAATAAGTTTGCATGAAAATCTCAAATAAATTTTAGAGTATTACACTGTAAAACAATATAAAATTCAACTGCTAATTCAATGTCCTAAAAGAATCTAAATAGTACGGCTAAAGCATATGGTTCCGGTTCAGCAAATACTGCCTAACATTAAATTAACTAACCTATCCGATTACAACTCACTACATTCTCAAATGATTCATTCTCAATGACCTGTATTCTCAAAGTTTTAAATTTTCTTTTAAAATAAACTTTTAAAAAGCAATTATGATATACACCTGTAACACGATCTAGGAACACCGCCCTACATGCTGGATCTGAAATTACTTCTACCACAAATATAACATTCAATACAGCAAAGGCCACCATCAACACATAAAATAAAATTCTTTTACAAAAAAGGACTCTTAGGTTCGGCATCGTGGTAAAAAGTGGAAAACAAGTTTATCTTGGATAACAACTTTACCTTAATATTTATTATAATTTGCGATTCCTGCACTATTTACTGAACCGCGGGCCATTTTTTAGCCGAACTGCTTTTATGCGGACAATCGATTATATAAATCTTCAACGGTTGGATCGGAAGAAACTTTGCCCAGATTGTTTTAGGATTCGAAACTAGTATTGAAGTACTAAAAAAATTATTACCGTAACTCGATTTCATTGCCTTTACAATTATTTATTGCAATTATTATTAAGCTTGCAGATAAGTTGTTAAGCTATCATCATACAATATATGTACTTAATTTAAACGTATGAAAGGATTGGCCCGCGGTTCAGCAAATAGTGCAGGAATCGCAAATTATAATAAATATTAAGGTAAAGTTGTTATCCAAGATAAACTTGTTTTCCACTTTTTACCGCGATGCCGAACCTAAGAGTCCTTTTTTGTAAAAGAATTTTATTTTACAGTTTTTATTCGGATCTAATTTATTTTATATCACACTCTAATCGCATAAAGTATTCATTTACAGTTTACGGATTAATTTAATCCTAATGTCTACAATTTATTTAATCCTATAGTAATCATGATAGTATTTTGATTAGGGATATTTATCGCTAATCGTAATCCACTATCCCACGGTTGCTCGAATTAATCCTTAATTTTAATCCAGAATCCCAATATTAATCTACGATCCCCAGGTATTGTTTCGTAACAGGAATTTTTAAGTTGTCAAATATGTACCCGAATTTGGGTAAAAAATATATTGGTTAGTGTAGGTATTTAATCAAATTTAATATTTAGTGTATGAAATTGGAAAAAATTCCACATTCCAAAATAAGGAGAACGGCAGAGCGAAAAAATAAATTTTCCCTCTTTCTAAACTTCTCTGTACAGCTTTGCATAGCCCGAACAAAGTGTGACTTCCGATGATATTACATTCAGTTCTCTATTAAATTGTCCGATTACTCTTTGCATTAAAAAGCATCAATTTGTTGCAATGGGTCATTCCTGTAGAAAAATTTACAAATTATACATACATCGTATTATTTCATGACAAGTCATTACGGGCGTCAATACCGAATTTCGGCATTCTATGATAAACTCTGAAAATCATTGGGGGTTACTCCATAGGGTACCTCTGGGTGAAAATTTTAACCCAGAGGTAATATTTTCGCTGAAAATATTTCCAATTTAATTTCATATTCTATTATTAAAAACCACCAGAGATTTAGCTTCCAAATTTACAGTTTCTAGGAGCATATTTTAAACGCGGTATGGGTCACCCCAGTGGGGTGACCCCACCCGGTCCCATCAGTTGAAAAATTTTCAATTTTAACCTTCATTTCCGAATTCCTACCTCCACTAGGACCGTCATACCGAGTTTCAGCCTGTTACGACATTTCGAATATTTTGCTCCAAAAGCCAAAAAACTAAGGGTCTCTCCTTTGCTTTTAAATTTGCACACCACTGATATGACCCCACCGGTCCAAATCTTTTTGATCAAACCTATCTTCGAAGTCGGTCGTCGCATTGCCCAGAAACATGTTTCTGCAAAATTTCATCCAAATCAGTCAATCCGTTCAAAACTTATTGTGACACAGACGACGGATGGACAGACAGACAACATGGGTGCAAAAGCACTTAGTTCGGCTAAAACACATAAAATTAACTAGATTTTTTAGTTTGCAAATTTTTCATATTTGCGATGATTAAAAAAATTCGTAAGGAAGTATATCCACCAAATTATTCACACTGGACTACGTATGTGGTGAATTTAATTTTTTTAGACTACCTGATCGACATATACATGTACGCATGAATATTGTCGCCAGGTGTGCTGCAAGGTCGTAGAGTCAAAGGTCGGCAAATAATTGCTTCTCCTCCAAATGCCTCCTCCCTCTCTGGCTACATGAAAATCCCCGTGAAATTGTAAATATATTCATGTTTTGGGCCAGAATCTGGTGGCTCGAAATTTTCTGTTTAATATCTGGTGACCAGATATTAAATATGCAAAATTATTTTGCAAAAAGTCGCCAAATAATTTTTTGACCACCCCCACAATATAAGGGGGTGTGGTGGTAACTTTGACAAAAATTCGTTCATTTTTGATGATGTGAAAGTTAAAAAAAGTTGCAAAAATATAAACCCAAGGAGATTCGAACTCTAGCCTTCCTGCCCAGCAGGCGGAGCGTCTGCCACTATGTCACTCATACAATTGCTTTTAGATGGCCCGGTCATTTGGCTGTAGTTACTATTAGTAATTACATCTGGAACTGGGCGCTATACTCAATGGCTGTCTCATGTCACCCAGGCTTTCATGTTATTAGTAATAACCTCGACTTGGCGCACACCCCCTGAATAACGCCACGTATCGTGTGACCTGGGCACACCCCCTGGATGACGCCACGTGTCGCGTGACCTGGGCACACCCCCTGGATGACGCCACGTGTCGTGTGACCTGGGCACACCCCCTGAATATCGCCACGTGTCGCGTGACCTGGGCACACCCCCTGGATGACGCCACCCTTCGTGTGACCTGGGCACACCCCCTGGATGACGCCACATGTCGTGTGACCTGGGCACACCCCCTGGATGACGCCACGTGTCGTGTGACCTGGGCACACCCCCTGGATGACGCCACGTGTCGTGTGACCTGGGCACACCCCCTGAATATCGCCACGTGTCGCGTGACCTGGGCACACCCCCTGAATACCGCCACGTGTCGTGTGACCTGGGCACACCCCCTGAATAACACCACGTGTCGTGTGACCTGGGCACACCCCCTGAATACCGCCACGTGTCGTGTGACCTGGGCACACCCCCTGAATAACACCACGTGTCGTGTGACTACGACACGCCTATTATACTTTACCATAACGTTACCATGACGTCTGGACCATTAACCTTTTACGTTTGCGTAACGTTCTTGAGTGATGCGTAACGTTCGCTTGAGTGATGCGTAACGTTTACATAACGATTTCCGAACGTTATGTGTACGAATCATTAGCCTTGTATCCGATTATTGTAGCCATTATTTTGACTTGACATTACTATATTGTAGCCATTCACTTAATGGAATTGATTTTAAATTCTAAGTGACCTCGACACACATATTGAGTTTCACCACAAAACGTGTGACTAAAACGCACACCGCAATTGTGCCCGCTAGCGGGCACTTAAAACAGACTAGTATCACAGGAAAGGAGGGGAGAATCTATTGGTAGGTGAATCGCCTCCAAGTGCACCTTCAAATGACGCGCCAGGCCAAATTTCCTCTTGCAAATTGTGCATTGATGATTCTTCTGGTTTTCATGAAAAGTCTGGATGTGGTGGTTCAGGCCAGTTTTGGTGAAGAAAATCTGAGGACAGATATTGCACTTAAACACTGGGCGCAAGGATTTCTCCATGTGAACAAACTAGAAATTATATAAACAAGTTAGATTAGATTGAATATTTTTTAGTGTAAATTTACACACGATTAAAACCCACGCTTTTCATTTTTGCACAAAAATAAGAAAAATAAAATCAAGGTTAACTTTACCTCGTGATTTTTCAAGTGATCTTTTTTTGCCAATCTCTTCCCACAACTGGAACACTGGTAGGACTTTTCTTTGGTGTGCGTGGCAATGTGGGTGTGAAGGTTTTCTTTTCGTTTGAATTCTTTCCCGCATAAAATGCAGGGAAATCTGTAGGGATTCTCGACATGTTCGACTTTGATATGTTCCTCGATCGATTGCTGATTAAGGAAAGTGCTACCACATCCATCAAATGGGCAGGGGAAGCGCTGTCGTGCCGTGGAACTGTGCTTGCGGGCAGTGTGAAGTCGCAAAACGGTGGAAGTGGTAAATGTTTTTTGACAAATTTTGCAAACTGGTCGGACTCTATTTTTGTGATATATGGCGATGTGTGTCTTCCTGCTTCTAAAATTTTTTAAAGATTTTGTGCAAATCTATAAATTGTATTTTGTCAAAAATTAATATGTTGGAGGAGATATATTATAATTGGTATTGATATATTTTGCGTTAATTGACTTACCGGACACTTAACTGGAGCATTAGTATCATGCATAGTGAGGTGGGTGGCAAGGATATCTTTACTTTTGAAAGATTTGGAACAGTGTTTACACTTGACGCGTAGATTTTGTCCTGTCTCCATTGTATATTGAAAACTTAAAGTTTAAAATTATACTGATTAATATCAAATAGTTTTCCAAACCTTCGGGAACTATGGATTAGTTAGAATTTATAATTTTTGATTGGAAGGATTTTATGTAAACGAAATAACGGTCAACATGTGATGGTTAGTTTAGTGAGAATAGAGAGAGTTATGGGGACTCATTTTCCATTATGTAACCCGAAACATATCCTAGCAAGGTTGAAGAAAAGGCCTTTTTCATCAACCACTGTGTGCTACACATCGTTAGTTGGATTGTACATACCAGTAGTCAAACGAGAGCATATTTATAATGTGAATGAATCGCATATCCAAAGTGTTAGGGGTATATACGTATGCATACTCAAACGTATTAAGTACTTGCACGGTATGGAAGAAACCCTTCCAACTTCATCGTTAAAACGCAATCTTAACTAGAGGAACAGGATTGGGACAGCAATAAATTATTTATCTTATTGAGGATATTATATGATTTACATGTTAAAACATCTTTTACCTAAGTTCATTCCGTCAATACTAAAATTGGTTTGAAAGATAGCCATAATATATGTAAGATATATATATATATTTAATCTATGCAGTTTTAAAAAATAAAAATTATGAATGTTAATATTCAATGTTAATTACTGCTAGAAAGGATGAGATGGCATCGGCCCCGCTGTGTGCACGAAAGTGATGTCATTCGTTTACTTAAATGCCACATTTGCAAACTATAAAATTTATAATAATTACAGAAAATAAAGAGTATAATGTAGCACACAACTTTGTAATATTTATTTATTACCAACGAAAACCACAAATTGTACCTAAGACATTCGCTAATTCTTGAAAATATTTGTGCCTAGAAGACTACATATATATACTTCATTAATATTTTATAAACCCCAAATGTGTTGTGCCTTGCTGGAAGAATACATTATAAAATTTAACAAAGTGTGTATATTGTGGAAAGTATAATTGTGACCCTAGACCGATTAATATTCTTAACTTTAACACATGACCGAAATATACGAAGCATTCTATAAATTTTTAAGGTTAACCGATTTATGTAATGATAATAAAACAATGAAAAATTAATTTATAAAACAATTTTCCAAAAATTTAGCCAAACCTATGCGGCAATAAAAGTATCAGAACGAATTTGCAAAGTACCAATTTTCTGATTAAAAGGTGAATCTGAATTTAATTAAAATACAGTGTGCATTAGCTAATTGGAATCGATACTTAAATTAAATCAAAATATTTAGTAGTAATCTTGAATTTATAGTTTTTTAACCTCTTACATCAAAAAAGATTTGTTCGCCTCAAGAGTATGTATTGAAGAAACATGTAGTTTCAGACTATGAAATCCAAGAAACTTTCACCCTGCAGAAAATTCTCTCTCTTTT